TTCAGTGACCGTTGAAACAATTAACTCAATTTGATGGTGTAAACGAAATTGCCCAACAAGGATTACGATGGAAAAGAGACTCGAGAAATGTGCGAGGTCCAATGCACCACAGGGTAAGGGGAACCTTAGGCTCGGCCCATCACAAGCTCGTAAGGTTCGCATGGTGATTCTTTTGCACCCATCTTCCGCTCATTATTTTAATTCATTTTTCAGTGTCTTTTTATCAACTACACATTCCATCAATAAAATAATATTACAAATAAATTCAAAAATTATCCTTATTTTTTAACCACACATTCTCCAAAAAAATACTATTCCAAAATCAATTTTTTTTCCAAAAAAATGGAACTCAAACAAAGGCTCTACATAGCCAACGAGTGCAACTAATGATCTAAAGACCTACCTAATAGTATTAGGATTCATTTGACATGCCTTTTGAAAAGTAAAAAAAAAATAAAATTGAGATCCAAGTTAGTATTGAACCGGATTTTATGCAAGTGTTTCTTGTAGGTAAAACGGTTTTTAGAGAAAACTAGTCCAATATGGGCACTTTTAGAATATGAAGATCTTTAAAAAATTAGTCTTCAAATAAAAATTAAGTTAATTTCGTCCAAAAAAATTTCTATATTAAGCAAAAATAAAAGGAAAAAGTCATGTCTGGCCTCCTCAATTCTCACTAGTGCTTGGGATATTTACCCATTTTCGATTAATTTTTTTTTAGATATTGACAAAATGTTGATATAAAAGAGGCAGGTGAAGACACACCACATGACAATGCAATATTATCAAGTTAGAATGCTTTAATTGTTCTTAAATTGAAGTTATGTGATTTAATTGCGGTTGGGGTAAATGTTTTGTGATCGCTAGTGCAATTAACCTAAGTTCACATTAGCTGTCGTTAACTTTAACGTCCATGTCATCAATGTTAAGGGATGTAAATCCCACATCGAATATTGATGTAAACACAGACCAATTAATAAAGATCTTGGGCTACTCCTCTTAATAAGGTTGACCTTTTAAGATGGACCCCCAAATCTTGACATGGTATCAGAGCCTATTATGCTCCAACAAGCGATTCCATCCCGGTAAGACTCCAA